TTGCCATGGTGGTTAAGTGAATCACTGCTGTTATTAAGTTAGTAACACAGTTGTTAAGCAAAGTCCCCATTTACTTTGTTTGCAGGAAAGTCTCAAAAGGTGTTCACATGACCCTGGGACACTGTAACTGTCATAAATATAAGTCAGTTGCCAAACATCTGAATTTTGATCACATTATTGTTGGGTGCTGTAACGGTCATAAATGGGAAACCAGTCATAAGTCACTTATTTCAGTGCCATTGTAAGTTTGAATGGTCCCTAACCAACTGTTGTAAGTCAATGACTTACGTATATAATATGTATAATTCTTACATTGCCTATGATTGGAATCAGCAGAACGATGCAAATGTATCACAACAATCATGGTGTGTGGAGTTGCTTACTAATAGATAATAAGTTAAAAACTCACATATTCTATGCACACTTAAAAAACAACAACCAAGAACCCTTTTTAGCATAACAAATTACTTGAAGGGAATTTTATTCAAGTAAATAATAGACTGTAGACAAATTAAGTAGCATTTTAAAAAATTAAAAGCATTTCATTAATATCTTATACTAAAGTATGAGGGAGGCAAAGTACAGTGTTAATGGCAAGGATGCCATCTGGAGAAACTATGAACATATCTTCCACACAAGTGCCATACCGCAGTTATTAACAGTAGAGAAAGCATCATGTTCAGAACATGTGATAGTTCTACTTGATTTAGCAAACTTCTGCTGATCGTTTTATGTTTGTCATCCAGAACATACTGAATAATGTACTGCTTTTATCTCCCTGCAGTATAAATTATTCTCCTTTTATAGATGTTGAACTGCTGTGTTTTGATAAATCTGGTTAGCTGTTCATAGCAATGACCATGACTTTGTCCATGATTGCTTAGAGTGTTATCTGAAGAAGTGATGATGGTTTATTCCTCTTAAAATCAACATAAGAAATCAAGAATTGTGTCTTGCTCTGAGTTGATACATATTTTAAAAAACAACTTGGTTCCTTTTCTTCCTGTTGTTAGTGAGCTGTACTTACTAATAGTAGGAACTAATCAAAGGGAACAGGGCACTGGTAGTTTCCTGATAGGATATGCAAGCCTTCCCTTTGAATGTCCCTCCTTAATAGGCTACTAATGGTATCTAATGGTGAAAGAGAAATTGGTCACATGACTCCTGAGATATTGATTGTTAAGATTTCTAAGTAAATTTCATTTTTTCATTTTTAATTTCATACTTTATGAATAAAGGCTACAATTAATATATCTTAAAAGAAGGGATACAGATTTAAAAAACACTTCAAAAAAAAAGTGCAATGGAAGCAAGTTACCATGGAAAGTCATGGAATAAATATTTTTCATTTTAGTTTTAACCAAAAAGCAATTAGAAAACATTTTCAGCATGCCACATTTAAGGTGAATTAGATGATCTCATTGTGGAATTGCAGCTTAATATTTGTAGCTTCCTGGTAGATGATGCTTAATAAGATTGGACTGAATGTTAAATATTCCAATGTCATGAGCTTTTTTTCTCAAATAAATGAGATTGCCAAAAGGAATGCTTATCTCAGATGATTATACAATTAACTGTACTTTATGGAGCATTTTCTGTATCCATTAGGTTTGGCTTAAAGGTGCAGACAGCTTGCCTGAGGGCCACAGTACACTTGTAATGAGAGAAAATTAACTTGTTTGCTGCAGCTGGCAATTTAGAATTAGCCAGCACTATTCTGCTTGCCTAAAACGAGGGAGATAAATTATTGGCCTCGGAACGACAGAGTTTCCGTGTTTCCCCAGTCCCAGTGGCCAATGTGAGCAAAGCATGGGGCTGCTTTAATTTCCTGCCGAAGTCCTTCCCATGCTCTATGCTCACAGGCTCCTTGGAACGGAGCACCATGTAATTGATGTGCAGTCTGCATTGCTGAAACTTGGACTGCACCATTCTCAGCGTGAGGGAAGATGTAATCCGATCTCTCTGCGCCGCTGAGGGGGGAATCCGTTCAGTCAAGGCTTTGACTGGGCAAAGCCTCCTCCAATAATCTTCCCTCCCGATCTCATTATTCCCCCCCAAGTTCTTCTTCGACAAGCCCCTGCGTATGTATGTATGTGTGCCGGGCGAAGCTGTTGGATCGCGAGCTTCCTTCTCGTTCGCAGCGGAGTTTGGCTGCTGGTTGTGTTGCCCAGTCTTCCTTTTCTGACGTGCCCGAGCATGTCCACATTAGAGTCTGTGACATATCTACCTGAAAAAGGTTTATATTGTCAACGACTACCAAGCAGCCGGATACTTGGGGGCACAGAATCTCTAAAGGGGAAAAATACCGACAACATGGGCTTCTACGGCACTTTAAAGATGATTTTTTACAAAGTAAGTAACTCGCGCGCTTTCGAAAGAGGCATTATTATTCTGTATGTTCGGCAGAAGAGGAAGGGAGGAAAAATCCGTATCATTGTAGATGGCTGCAGTATCTCCGTGGTTTCCCCCCTCCTCTTAGTGGGTGGCTGGATGCTTAAAATTCTGTGTGCTGGATAAAGGCAAATAGCGAAAAGGCTCAGTGAGATGCGAAATGCTTTTATTTTAAAATCAGCATGAGAAACCAGGGAAAGATCAAATTATTTACCTTCGACTGAAATGGGTCTTCACGTTCAGCTCAGCACTTTAAGCTTTTTTAAAAAGAAGACTTTTCCCTCCGTGTTCTCTTTTGCATATTGTCTTCACAAAAGTATTTTTTTATTTTATTAATGCTGCTGCCCTGGAAACAAATAATTCTATTGCTTCTATGTAAATATTTGCATCAGGGAGGAATTTTAAAGATGTGCCTGGTGCATTCCCAATAGCAGTGCAGAAAACAGGCTACAGGATCTGTTCTTTCAAATAGTAATGCTAATACTAAATAATACTTTGCTATAAAATTCGAATGTTTTCATGAGTATTTATGAATTATGTTTTACATTATGTAGTAGCTCCGCATTAGATTATTCTGAAGGGAATAAACTTTATAGGATGATGCATGATAATTTATTGCGATCTTTTTTTAATACAGTGTGCATTGCAGAGCTACTGCATATTTCACAATCTAGATTAAATAGGGATTGAAAAAGTTTATAATACAAATATTGAGAAAATTAGAGTTTGATAACATTCTTTGGCAACTATAGAAACTGTTTCGAATATATCCTGTACTTCTGACACAATGAAGTTGTGTTTAAAGCGGGAGTTTATGTTATAGCTCTGACTCCCAGAATTTGCCTGAAGAAAAATATTTTTTTCTGTGAACGCCTTTTTTTATCATGCTATCCCGTAGGAAAATCAAATTAAAGATTGAAAACATTTTTCCTGAATAAACATGTTAATGTTAATATAGTGTTGGTAGATAGTAATATGAGGAATCCTTTTCCAGTGTTTCCTTATTCTGCACATGGGTAAAAATACGGTTTCTGTTATTCTGTGTCTGTGTCTTAAAGAAGAGGCATGCTTGTAAAAGCAGGTTGTTTTCTCATTTTGGTTTTTAGTTTTCTTTGGTAACATGCGGAGTTCTGCTCCATATGAGCCGGAATCATAAGATAGGTTAACTATAAGAACAGCTTCAATACTGAAAAAGTGAAATGAATATGCAGAGCAATTTACATAGAATATTGTCCAAAATGAAATGTAATACATTGGGTGAAAGCCCATAAGTACATTTTAAAGCCTTGGAAAATTTTACTGTATCTTCATTATCATTACCAAAGCACCAGTACCAGCTCAATAATTAATGTATATCCATTTAATAGAAAAAATAAGCATAATTTGCTTTGAAGGGCAGTGTACCTTGGACATTACAAAGGCTATTTTCAAAAACCAATATGAAAATTAGTATTGGTATGTTAGCAGTTATTTAAAACATTTATTGTATTATAAAATATCTACAATAATAACAATCCATCCATTTCTATATTCATCATTCTGCTCAAACACATGCTATTTTACTTAGGCAGTGTAGCAAGTTATGGCTGCATTGGTCAAATTTGAAAAGTTTGCATTATAAATAGATTTTAATAAACCTGTTCTAAGCAATTTCATACAGTAATTAAACTGTATTTTATAAAATTCTTGCATACAGTTTTAATTTCAATTGCTTCCCTGGAAGTTTCTAAAAATCACTGAGTGTATTAACATTTAATAATTTGTTTGACTCAATATGTTGATTACTGGGTATATTTTCTGTTTAGATGTACTTTTAAAGCAAAACCTTTTTTAAAAAAATCTCTGCAAGTTGGAGTCAAATCTTCATACATTCACACTCCCCTGCCACGTTATTCTCATTAGGGAAAAAAGCACAGTTTTATTAAATCTGTCAAGAGGAGTTAGAAATGCAAGGAACATCTCACAGAAAAGGAATTGAATGTCCTTGATTGCTTTTCATAAAATGTTTCCTAAATAATTATGTAAGAACCTTTTTATATATTTATTCATTCAGTTATAGACCACCAAGTCCTCAATTCTAAACAACTTACAATTAAAAAGAAAAAAAAACAATTATGAAAGAACACAGCTGATCGAAAAACTAAAACAAAACTATAGGACTTCCATAACCATCCAATTCCAAGGTCTGGGAGAATAAGCATATTTTAATCCTTTTCAGAAAGTTATTAAAGGGGCAGTGTGGATCTCATTTTAATCTCGTCATGTATTTTTATGCATTTTTTTTTCATTCTGAGCAATTTAAAAAGCTAGTACTTGTAAACCTAAGTAACCAGATTATAGAAGACAAATTATAGTGTATAAGTGTGTAGAAATAAATATAGCAAATATTCTGGAAGCCTAATAACTATGGAATGCAAGATTGCACAGAAGGTTGTTGAACTGTTGGAATTATTTAAGTTTTATTTTTTAAATTATAAATCCTAATGGTCATTCAAAGGGACTAAAGGGTTGATAAAAAGAGCGGTTTCTTTCAAAGTAATATAAACTGTTCATTACAGTTCTACCTTAAGGTGGTAAGCTAACATCTTTTCTCTTGTCCCATTTTACAGATGAAAAGAAAGTTAGACCATGGCTCGGAGGTCCGTTCTTTCTCACTGGGAAAGAAACCCTGTAAAGTCTCAGAATATACAAGGTAATTTGGTGTAATAAACTGTCATCTGTTTTCAGATACTTTATCATATGCTGTCCAGGCACCTATTTCATGTTTATACTCAAACCAAAATTCGGTTCTCTGCAAAGGACCGAAATTAAGTGCTAACTACAGAAATATTTGAATTCTGAATTAGAAATAATGGGTTATAAGGCTTTAATAGCACTGTCTCCATGCAAAGACTCTTGTAGGTCAGGACACTTAACAGTTTACTGGGTTGTTTGGAATATAGAATTGACAATATATCTGATGCTAATCATAACATTCTTGCATGCAACAGCATGATACTTCCTGACTCATTGAATTATAACCGTACCAGAGAGTGGAGTTCCATTTATAAATTAAAGCAACATACATTCATCATGAGCCAGTCTTGTCAGTTTATCAACCCTTTAATTTCTTTTGGCCAGGAATTTCAGTATCAGTGCATTCAGTTCAGCTTTACTACTAACTGGTTGCCATAACAACTAAATACAGTTCTGCTGCATTTTGTCATGTACAAATCTGCATCACTGTACAACTTGCTTTAACAGGCTATTTATCTATTATTTAAATATAAATTCTAAATTCTTTATGAATTGAAATATATTCATTTATATGTTATTCACAATTATGTCTTCAACACTGCTAACACTAAGAAATTTAAAAAAAAATCATCTATCATACTCAGAGTTTTCTGAACTGCAAGATGAGCAGCAGATAAATTTGATAAATAAATATTTGTACGATCGCCCAGCTTACAAAAGTGTGACTCTGGACTTAAATTGAGACTGAAGTTAACATTACAAATATGAGAACTTTTTCATTCTAGCCTAATCGGTTCTAATTGTTTCTTATTGGGGGTGGGATTGTATAGATACTCCTATAAAACAATGCATTTTTGAAGACATTGTTATTATGAAGCAATGTTACTTTTTGGATTTGAATTATGGCAGGAATATTTGGAATTGATTTCACATTTAGTAACTTGTATCCATGAAATCAAACTCCTTGAATTTTATTAGAAAATGAAAATAATAGTAAATACAAAGGAATTCTTATTATAATCTTAAGAGAAAATTTATTTAACTATGAAAAATCAAATAATTTAATTTGCGCTGTAATGCCATCCTTATTAGACATTAGATCCTAATTTTGCTTTCAATGGGAGAATATAATGAAAAATGATAAAGTAATGCTGTTAAACACAAAAAGCTATCTTATACACTGAAGCAGTTAACTGATCTATCTAGAGTGTTTTTGACTTCTGGTCTCCCTAATTTTAGTCTCTGAAGCAGAAGTGTTTTTTTTTTTTTTTTGTAGTCCTACTTCTTGAAGTCCTTATAACTCTAAATACTTGAAAATAGAAAACCATAGCTCCATTTTTCTTTTAAATACATTTTAGTATTCCTACACAAATATTTTTCAAATATTTAGCCCTGTAGTAATTGAGTCTCAGAAGAACTGGGAAGGAAATAAGTCAGCAGCTAAGTATTCAGAAGTATGTTAGCAATAAATGCACTGATTAGAAAAACTGAGTTCAAGCTTTGAATTTCTAAGCAAAAATTATTGCTATTCAGACATTTAGTTAAGTATTTTTCATAATTTAGTCTGTTCAAAGGCAAGTCCATATGAAATACGCTTGTAATCAACAACATACCATAGAGGTTAAAATTATTTTAAAACTTGAATATTTTCCTAGCTCTACTTTTTAATACAGGTAGTCTTCAACTTACAACAGTTCATTTAGTGACTGTTTAAAGTTACAACTGGACTGAAAAATGTGACTTATGACCGTTTTTCACAGTTGCAACCTTTGCAGCCTCCCCATGATCATATGATCAAAATGCAGATACTCAGCAACTGGTTCATATTTATGCTGTGTCTCAGGGTCATGTGATCACTTTTTGCAACCTTCTGACAAGCAAAGTCAATGGGAAAGCCAGATTCCCTTAACAACTGAGTTACTAACTTATCAACTGCAATGATTCAATTAACAAAAGACCTTTCTTGTCTTTCTGAGACAAGAAAGGTCATAAAATGGGACAAAACTCACTTAATAAATGTGTCACTTAACATAAATTTTGGCCTCAATTGTGGTCGTAAGTCGAGGACTACCTGTACTTTTAACTTGGAAGATGATTAAAATTTTATTTTTAGTTTTGATTAATATTTATATAAAGATAATTCTAAAATTATATTTTCTGGACAATCCAGAACAGATCTGGATAGCTATAAAGGGGAAAAGGAAAAAGAGAAAGTTGAATTAGTCAGTATCCAGTTACATAATGATATGGTCAATTGACGACCACAGTACCACTTGCGCATTAATTATTCACAAGTAAAGGTGCAAAATAATATTTTTGCATTATGCTTCTACTTTCAATAGTATTGCCAGCCCTCTATGTCTTTCCGAGCATACTATAAGCTGTAAAATACTCAACTAGGGTATTTTACTCCTTACTGTTTTCAGTGGACAGTCATCATTCCATGATAACTGGACATACTAATTCTTCCTGACACGTTTTCAAAAGTTTTATTGGTTTATTTGCTTTTGCTTTTCAGTGTGCATCTGAAGGGGGTGTATATTTGTTTGTTTGTTTGTTTGTTTATGAAAAATCAAGTTTTCTGTATATAGTATTGCTCTCTTTAATTCCCAGTGGCTATGTTTCTGCTCTATTTTTGTTTGCATTTTCTACATGAATTCACTTGGAGGCTTTATGGCTAAGATTCAGCATATTAACTTGCAATGCCCAGATGACTATAAACTGGTACATAAACACCAGGGATTGTGAGATTTAAAGTAATTTGACTACGTAACTGAAGCTCAAAAATACTAGTGAATCAGTGTAAGCCCTTTGATACATCTAAAGTAGTACTTCAAATTCCTTGTTACACCTTTTGGATAACATCCCTTCTTCAATAAATTAAGCTAAACTTGACTCACATTTTAAAAATTTTATAGGGTTTAAATACAGCATTTTTTGAAGTTTCATAGACTTATAAAATATCAAAACACTGAATTTGTAAAGGAGATGGGATTGGGTAAAGTGTGCTAATAATAATGAAATTTGCTTAAATAACTAGAATTGAAGTTGCTAAAGGAAATGTTATATTTAATAGAAGTAAATATTTCTGGAATCTGGATTAATTATACTTCCTGCCATAGCACTACTGGGCTTGTGCCTTGTTCAGCAACACCAACTACATTTGGAGATCTGAGAGCAGCCAATGGTCAAGGACAGCAACGCCGTCGCATTACATCTATCCAACCGCCAACTGGGCTTCAGGAATGGCTGAAAATGTTTCAGGTAATAATAAGTTTCTTTAATTAGCTAATTAATAATTCAGAATACCTTTTTGTGAATCTATTAGAACAAATGCAGAATATTTCACTATAAAGTTACACCACTTTAGTTTTCTCTCTTTACTCTTTTGAAATAATGAAAATTAATAATCTATGTGTTGTGTGTATCCTGCTCTTTTTTTTTCTTTTTCCCAGTCTTTATTATAATAAAATAAAGGTAACATTTACAAAAGGTTTTAAAACCTTTTAAACCTGTGGGTTTTGTCCGCAAGTTGTAGCTGACTTTAAGGGACGGTGCTCATCTCCATTTCTAGGCCATTGAGCCAGTGCTGTCTAAAGATGTTTTTGTGGTCATGTGGCCAGCATGACATCACACTGCATTGGAGAGCATGTGACGAAACATAGAAACACTTATTTTCCCACCGCATTTATATACTATTGAATTGCTAGCATGGCAGAAGCTGAGGCAAGTGATGGGAACTCATTCCATCAAGAAGTGGTAGGACTTGAACCACTAGAGCACAGACCTTCTCCAGCATCTTTAAAGCCATTGAGCCACTGCGCCTCTTTGATTATCTTTATTAAATTTCAAAGTCAAACATTAAATTATAATGCAGTACACATTTAATTGGTCCTGTATGGATGCATTAAATTAATTAAGTGTGTTTAAAGACACAGTACCAAGTATAAAACAAGGTGGATGTACTTAATTACTTTGGTGGTGATGGTTGCATTATTGAAAAACTAGGTTAGACACAGATAGTCATGGAGAAAATCTATTTTAGGTGGTTGCTACGAATTAACCCTGACTTGATGGCACATAATCAAAAAAGATAAAGTTTTATAGATCTTAGTTATAAATTAAAATGAAAGATTTCTACTTTGAAATACTTCATATATTATTTTTTTTTAAAAAAACACTTAATATAGAAACCATTGTGTGTAGTATTGGTTTAAGAAAGATTAAATGCAATAACATTCATCCATAGAAATTAGCATGTTGTAATTTCAATTTTTTTAGTGTAGTTGAATATAGTTACTGCCATTGGATATTTAAAAATATCAGTTCAGCATGTAATATACCATATTAGCTATTTACTAGCATGAAACCTAAAAAACTAAAAATCAGTCTTCCTTATTAGACTACGTTGAATTGTTATAAAATTAGTGAATAATAGTAACAAAATTAATACTTCTTGAATAAGCCTAATTATATAATTCCAAAATACTTTTAAAAAATATACAATCAAACAATGAACATGAATATTATTCAAGAACAAAAATGCATATTATTAAAACTGCATGCATGTTTTGATTTCCTAAATATGTTAGAAAATGTCCCATGTAGGATTTCTGCTTCCTAAAAATCTCATCCTAATGCAACTTTCTTGAAATAAATATATTTTTTAAAAAGGTGAAGTGTCACAAGGTTCTGGGTGGTATATAACAAAGCAAGAAGTACCGAAAAACATACATGTACTAGATATATCTCCAGGGTGAACAGAGCATAATGCAACCTGGGTGCTTAATTTGAGGAACTCTGAGCTCAAATGAACTAACTGACGGAGTCAGATTTGGCAAAAGTATATCTGATACTTATAAAAGTGTATAGAGAATTTCCATAATGCAAAAGAAACATAATTGTTCATCTTTCATGGACGTTAAAGAATTGGGTAATCACAAAGAGAAAGTGATTTATTGTGGCAAATTTTAAATAGGATTGTTAATTGGTAATCCTATTTTAGAGTATAGAAGGGTGAGCTGATTCAATTATTAATATGTATCTTAATTATAAGGAAATTTTAGTAATATCTTGCATGTTCAGGTATTTTGACATCTAATTGTCAGCAGAATTTTCATACAGTCAAAACAAGCATATAAAATACGTAACCATCAGGGATTTAAATACCATTAAATTATTTTCTGTGTCCATATAAGAATGACCTTATTTGCAGTCAGTGAGCAAATTACGTACTTCAAAATCTCAAATGATACTTTCTGATTGTTGAATCATAATACAATATAGCAATCTATGCTTATCGGTATAATTTGCATAGTCATGTTTAAGGAAGTACATTTTAAAGATTGAATATGTGGCATTTTTCATTGCTAACTAACTCCAGGAATCCATAATAGAACAGAATAAAAAAATTGCAAGGGACCTTAGCGGTCTTCGAGTCCAATCCCCTGCTCAAGCAGGAGACACTATACCATTTTGGACAAATGGCTGTCCAATCTCTTAAAAACCTCAACTTTTGGAGGCAAGCCATTTCATTGAGTTATTGTTCACACTGTCAGGAAATTGCTCCTTAGTTTTAGATTGGATTTCCCCTTGATAAATTTCCATCCATTACTTCTTGTCCTGCCTTCAGATGCTTTGGAGAATAGGATGAACCCCTCTTCTTTCTGACAGCCCCTTCGATAATGGAAGACTGCTGTCACGTCAGCCCTAGTTAGATTAGATATACCAATTCCTGCAGCCATTCTTCATACATTTTAACCTCTCCTAATTATCTGTGTTCTTTTCTGCACTCCAGAGTGTCAGCTGCATGCTTCTCTATATACATGCAGTTCTATTAAGGACTACATGTTGAGTGCAGTTTGTCAGCCAGTTATGAATCCATCTGATTGTAATGCTGTCTAACCCACATTTAGGGGGTATTTTTCAAAAAAGTCAAAATGGTAGTCGCTTCCTTTGTTATCTGTGTTGATGTCACACAAAAATACAAACGAGTACAACTTTGATCACTTGGTTATCTGCAGATAACTGCTAAAAACTATGAATATAGAACTCCTGATTTAATCTGTTTTCTTTTTATTTAAAACTTTAAAAAATTGTATAACTGCACATCTGTTTTTGCTTACATTTTGCTAACTATAACTATTATGTTTGTGTCTTCGAGTCAATGTTGACTCTGGTGTCTATTTGGACAAGTCCCTGCAGTTTTCTTGGCAAGATTTCAGAAGTAGCTTGCCCTTGCCGCCTTCTCAGGGCTAAGAGAAACTGACTGGCCCAATGTCATTATCTGGCTTTGTGCTTAAGGTGGGACTAGAACTATGGACTCCTGGTTTCTTGCCTGCCTTATTCCTTAACCACTATACCAAACTGGTTCTCTTAAACATACCTGTTAGGTTTTAGTAATTTTAGTAATCTTTCTTAGGGTTTCAGAAAGCCTTGAAAACCTGACTCTAGTCCCAATTTGGGGTTGATATTTGTCACATTTAATGGCCCCTGTTTTGTATTGTGCGATTTGTTAGCAGAGTATTTCAGTCTAGGATGTCTGTTGATTTAATATATCTTGCTGGTTTTTTGTATATTAATTGTACTCCACCCTAAGTCCACTGGAGATAGCTGACCAGTGAATTTAAATGATTAAATAAAATAAGAATATTTTTCTACTTCAGGAGTTCATTATAACAATTTCCAAATGTTATAAAGATTTTCTAAGTACAGTTTATTGAAACAATAGTATGAAAAGTAAATGCAATTTTGTATCTCTCAGAGCTGGAGTGGACCAGAGAAGTTGCTTGCCTTAGATGAATTGATTGATAGTTGTGAACCTACCCAAGTGAAACATATGATGCAAGTGATCGAACCCCAGTTTCAAAGAGATTTCATTTCCTTGCTCCCCAAAGAGGTGAGGATTCTTATTTAATATTGGGCTCTGGGTACTGTTTGACTATATAATCTATCATTTACCACCCTTAAGCATTTCCTAACTAATTATAGTCCTCAATATTTTCAGCATAACACTGTTAATTGGTGTTAAAAAAGTCTGGAAGATGAAAACTGCTATGATTTAATAATGTAGTTCTTAGCTTAAATAAAAATGCTTATGAGACCAGTGACTTTATTTCATTGACTAACTTACTTTTTGTTATGGTCATTTTTTATTTGTAGTTTTTTTGAAGCTTTACAACTAATTTAAAATAATTTAGATTAAATACTTTCTATGTTGTTGTCATCTACCTTCCCGAAGGTTGCATATTATCTTTCCTGGGGGGACTAGTTTCATTTTGTATGACATAATCTCTTGTAGAGTTTGTAGACTTTTCCTTGAACTAAGTAAACAGAGAACCTATTTATTTAAATATATAAATCTTTATTGCAATCTTAAACATAGACAAGTCTTATTCATTCATTTATTCAGTTTTTATGGCCACCTATTTATACATCACCCTGGTTAGCTCACACATTTTAAAACAGTAGAACAGTTAAAACAAAATTCTTACAACCATGCAGAGGAGGATGGGTAGACAATGACAAATTATTCAACCATACTAAAGGGCACTCTTTATGCCTTATCTCAGTGACTGCAAAAAGAGCCTAGTCTTCAGTGCTTTCTTGAAGGCAGATAAAATTGGGTTTGGTTAGATGTTGAAGGAAATATTCCAGAGGGCATATACAATGACAGAGACACCACACTTCATGAATTGACAGTGTTTAATAAATGAGACCCAAAGCATGCTGACTTTGGATATTATCAAATGGGCAGACATAATAGGATACAACCAGTCCTGCTTCTATATCACGCAGGACATATTAGATAACAGTTAGCACCTTGAATTGAATTCACAAGCCTACTAATAACTAATACAACTTGTATACGGGTAGTCCTCAATTTACAATAATATTTGGGACCAGAATTTCAGTTCTTAACTCGGGGGGTTGTTAAGTGAGATTTTATGACTCTCGCTTGCCACAAATCACCGAAGGTCTTAAGTGAATCATGCAGTCATTAAGCACTTCCCCCTTGACTTTGCTTGTCAGACACTGGCTGGGAAGGTTGCAAATGATTCTGGGATGCTTCAACCATTGTAAATATATGCCACTTGCCAAGAGCCTGAATTTTGATCATGTGACCATGGCGATGCTGCAACAGTCGTAGGTTGTGAGGACTAGTTGTTAGTCCTTTTTTTCAGTGCCGTTGTAACTGAACTGTTGCTAAACAAATGATTTTTTAGTCAAGGGCTACCTGTAATAGTGTTACAAGAGGGTACAGCTGGTGCCAACCATACTGTAACAATTGTAGTTTCTGAGTGCTGTTCAAGGATAGTCTCATGTTAAACATATTGCAATGATTTTAATGGGCGGGGACTAAGGTATGAATGATCATGAGTAGGACTTCCCAATCCAGGAAAGGGTGCAGTTGGCCCATCAGATGAATATATAAAAAGACCTTCCTAACCAAAGAGGTCATCTGCTCCTTGACCAAGAAAGAAACGCATACTGTGAGCTTGCTCTGACTAGGGAAATGCCACCCAATCCCAGAAATATGTAAATGATTCTTGCTAGAATGATCTTAAATATAAGACCCTGCTGTTATTTCTTCAAATCTTTTGCCTAAAAATTAAATGTTCAGTTTACCTAAAATCCTTTCTCATAGAAGGATGTCTACTGTGTCTTTGAAGAATATCAGTAAAGTTGTCACAGGGAATACATGTGCTAAGTATTAATTAGAAAGGAAAGATTAAGTGGACAAGTAGGTTTTAATCATTTTTTTAGTTGACCATTTTTCCAAAGAATGCTTTATGTTTCAATTAATTGTTTTTTTGCCAATCTGTGAAGTAGGGTTGAAAAAATGTCATGAGAATTCTGTATAATTTTGAGTGTAAGTTTATTTTGTCAAACGCCTTTCCCCTCTCAGTCCCAATATCTTTTGGCAAATTTTAATGAACACATTTAACAGTATATCATCCTGTTTTGATGGATGTACTTTTAAAATGCATTAGCTAGTATTGAACAGCCACATTCAGCCTATCAGGATAGATGTTGTTTGGTTGACTGTATTTTTAATCATTTCCATCGCCTATATTGTATTTCAGGAAATTGAACATTCTAAACATATTTGAGGTTTTATGTTTTGTTGCAATGTGCATAGGGAAAGGAAGGCACAGTGAGTGCAGGTATTATGGTGCAAAATGATGACAATTTTGGCCTAAAAGAAAGTAATTCAGATTGCTGCATTCCATGCTGCTTCCCAACTTTACTAACTGTCTGCTTCCCAGCAATACCTTCAATTTTGTTATTCAGTTTAAGGAATGAACTAATATTCTGATTCAGACTTAATTATGGGATGGAACATTGTCTTGTCTCATATTATGAAGATCAAATTGAATATAGAGGGATATATTAATAATTCCCAAATATGTGTTTTGTGGTCTTTGACAAAGTGGTAGTCTTGACATGGAAAATGGAGAGGGTGAGTAGCCTGGATTTAGAACAATTATATGTTCTCATTTGAAAAACTTATTATAGCAGTTAACCAGTTCAGTAGCCAGTGTTGGGAGCCTGATAGAAGCCTTGGGCCTTTTTTTAAAGCACAGCAACTACCTAATTACCTAACGGCTTCCCAAACAAGAGTCAGGTGAGGTTTATCTGGAGGGCTTCTTTAAGCTAGGTGTTTTTAATTTTTTGATTTACTCTTGGCAGCTGCCTGAACAAGTCCCTGCAGTTTTCTTTGCAAGGTTTTTCAGAAGTACCTTACCATTGTCTTCTTCCTAGGGTTGAAAGAGAGTGGCAATCCCAAGGTCAGCTAACTAGCTTTGTGCTTAAGATGGGAATAGAACTCATAGCCCTCCAGTTTGTATCTGATGCCTTAACCACTACATCAAACTGATTCATTTAAAAGAGTTTGGTAGCCTTTAGAAATTCAACATTGTATACCGCAGCGCCTCCCCCAACCTTTGTGGCTTGTTTTGAGTTTGAGTTTGAATTTATTTAGATTTCTATACCGCCCTACTCCAGAAGGACTCGGGCGGTGAACAGCCATAGATAAAACAGATACAATTTTAAAAACAATTTAAAAAACATATTAAATAAATTTGGCCCCATACTAATTACCGATGGGGGGAGAGAAGGGAATTGGGCCATGTGAGTAGTGGGCTGGTGCGCACACGCAAATGCAACTCAACTTGAACAAGCGGCAGGCTGGCGCACATGCACCTGGACTTCTACAAGTTGAGCTGTGTGCATGTGTGCACACACGCCAGCCTGCCGCTTGCACAGCTCAATTGCAAATAGGCCACAGCCTGGTAGTGGGCTGTGGCCTGAGGGGTTGGGAACCCCTGGTATATAGGTAGTCCTTGACCATCGTGTATCACATAAAGAAATACATGAAGATGCAACAAATTGATTTGTTGCACAAAATAATTTACAGATGAATCCTATGGCAGGTAAAGGGTTTGGAAGGAGGTCTGGCAGATATATTCAAGAGGTAATTTCTAATGGCCCTTAACTCTATAATTTTCTAAACCAGCCTGTAATTGAGAATATAGGATTATGATTAGTTCAGAAATACTTTGAATTTGTTCTAAGTTACTCTCCTTGCACTCAAACATGTCCCTTAAAGTGGAAGTATTTAGAGTCTTAGACTTTACAGTTTTCTTTTAGAACTACTAAAATAAAGTAGATTTAGAACTACTACCTTTACTTATAGTTTGTCCTAATTCTCCTAATTTGTCCTAATTGTTCAATGATTTGAGTATAAAATATAGTATTTTTCTTTTATATTCTTTTTCATTTACGTTCTGTTTCTTTCCAATCATGTCCAATCATGTTTATATAATTGCTTTGAATTAGGTTTTTAGCCTGTTAAAATATCTCAATACTATTAAGGATATTTAGGACAATATGCACATTTTAGAGAGCATAAATTACCAGATTAAGAACTGAAGAAAATTGAAGTGCAGAACTATAAATATTTTTGATTAAATCAAGGACACCAAAATATATAATGCTTCATTAAATAAATAAGGCAATATAATATTGTTATATAGAGTTTCATAGCTCAGGATCACCTCATAAATGAACTTGTCATTTATTTTTAGCAAAATAATTAGAATCACAGGTTATATTGTGCAGTTATGTTGCAGTTATGTTGCAACCTGTTTTCCTCAGAAACCATTCTTATCAAATCCATTGTTTTAAATTAGGTCTTCAACTCTCATTATTTATATAGAAATTCCACTTATTCTCAAAAATTATAGTCTGTTCTACTATTTTATTATTTTTACCGTAACCTGGTCATTTGAAATACATCAGTAGTACCAATAGAGGAGACTGTATGTAGTTCACGGTTGAACTGTGGATTCCTTGGTGCTTTCTGAGCATGGTTGGTTGCAGAAGTTTCATTACCCTACTGGGTAACATCATCAATGTGAGTGACTTTGGATTTGCTCCCTGATTAATATTCAGTAGCTTCCCCTACCAGTTTTGGTGGAGATGTGTCCGTCGTCATCGTCCCCCCGTGGCGCCCCCCCCCCCCCAGTATCTTAATTAGAGTATTGTTCTCTGCTTAAGGGTTTATCTGGTATTAATCTCTGCTTATTTGGATGTTGATTGTTGAAGAAGATGTGTTCTGGTCTTTTGGTTTCCTTTTTGGCTTTCTTACTGTCTCTTTTTAATGGAGAGTAAATATGGTTTATTTCTGTGTGTCTATTGATGGCTATTTGTCTGAATCTTCCAGGAATTCCCTAGCATTTTTGGATTTACCTTGGATGCTCACAGTTTCACAATTGAAACTATGGTTGAATGTGACCATGTGTTATGAGATTAAGGAGTTTTCATGTGTCTTCTAACAGCTAGTTTCTATTCATGGATACTCTGTCTTAGAGATTTAATCTTGATGGGTTATCAGCATTTTTCTGTGTTCTAGGGTTAGGGATTGCTCCAGTTTCTCCTTGAGATTATTTATGGTGTGCTGGTGTTTGTGAGCATCTATGATCATTAGCCACATCATTTATCAATTGCTTTGTTGAGTTATTTTCCATCCAGCTGTGCAGTTTATTAGAGGTTTATATCTGACTGGTGGGCAGGGCATGTTGTCGTAGGCATTCATGCAGAAAAATAGTCATTTCTTAATCAAGGTTTGCTACATGCAATTATCTCCCATTTGCATGATTTCTGAAGCATTTGACACCTATATATGATTCCAATAGAAGAGAATATATGTAGCTCAGGTTTGAAAGGTGGGGTCCTTGGTGTTGTCTGAACATGGCAGAAGAATGCATCCAATGAAAGCAACACTATAAAAACTCCATGATCTCACCACACATGAATTGACTAAATCACAATTTCAACTGGAAAATCCTTTTGTGTTTGTGTGGTGTGCATATGTGTGTGTTCAAGTCAAGACAACTGCCCAGACAAGTCCCTGCAGTTTTCTTGGCAAGATTTTTGGAAGTGGGTTATTCATTTATTTTTATCCTCCATTTATTATTTTAATTATTTTTAAAAATATTGTAACTCAACAGGGTAAACATGCATAATACTCTTTCATCCTCCTATTTTCTCCACAGCAACAATCTTGTGAGGTGGGTTGGACTGAGAGAGAATAAGTGCTGAAAGTCACCCAGCTAGCTTTCATGCCTAAGGAGAGATGTATGGTTTTCTAGCCTGATACCTTAACCACTAGATCAAACTGGTTCCCAGTGGTTTGCCATTGCCTCCTTCCTAGGCCTGAGAGAGAACCCTAGCTGATTTTATGTTTAATGCGGATCTTGTGGTTTATAGACTGCTGGCTACAATTTGGTTTGTGAGCAAGCTGGCTCGTGAGCGTCTTAGGCCAATCTAAATCCAAAAACACTCTGGAATTCCTGGAAGTTTAGCATTCAGACAAATCAGCCATAAGTCAACACCATATAAACCATATTTATACACCGTTCAAACAAGACAATAGAAAAGCTAAGAAGGAAACAAAAAGATCATAATACATTCCTTCCAACAGCTAACACCAGATAAACTGGAATTTCCATCAGAGAAACAATGAAGCAGAAAACAATGCCATAATCAAAGAACTACCAAGGACAAAACCCCACCATCACGAAAACTGGCAGGCTACTGAATATTAATACGGGAGCAAACCCCATAGACATTCATATTGTTGATGTTACCCAGCAGGGTAATGAAATATCCGCAAGCAAACAAGTTAAGAGAGTACCAAGGACTCCATATTAGTCGTCGTCGTCATCGTAGCCTCTAAAATTCAAGAGTATTTCTTGGGATTTTGGAGAAGTTGGGAAGATACAAGCATTATGCATGTTGTGTTTGTTATAATCACTCTTTCTTGATTATATAAGTGAATCTATAAAGCCCAGTAAATTGCCTAATTCTTTCAATGAGTTTCAACCCACTTTTTTTTTTTTAAAATTTTTGTAGCTGGCTCTATATGTGCTTTCTTTCCTGGATCCCAAGGACTTGCTGCAGGCAGCACAAACATGTCGATACTGGAGAATTCTGGCAGAAGACAATCTTCTATGGAGAGAGAAGTGCAGAGAAGAAGGTAAGGTTAAAATTTTTATCTTCTGAGACTCATTGAAAAAATGCCTTTGGTTATGGAAAGATCATTATTTTGAATATTTATATTTCACCAGCAATACAGATTCAAATATATGTTAACTTGCTATATTAAATCAAGCAAGCCAATAAATACAAATTCTGATATTTGAAGCTGGAATTCTAGAATTCACCTGAGAGCTGCTGAGCCTTTTGTTTGTAGATTCAAAGAATAGAAAGAGATGTGCCTCATGTTCCTCCAGTTTGAAAATAGCTTGAAAATGAGTAACAGCAGCTCAGCTATTATACAGAGAATAGTTAATATTTAATTTAAAAAGTTTAAATGAGATTTTTGAGATAACAGGAGTAAATAAATAGGGGTTCTAGTGTAAGGCTTTAGGGTAAATTGGATGGAGGATAGAATAGTTTTGAGTTGCATGACAAACAGGTGAGACATCGCTAAGTATGTTACACAATTGGCAATAGTTTATCATTTTGGAAAGGGAGGGTAATGAAACATGCAACTAACATCATTTTGGGTTTGTTTAAAATATATAGGAATTGATGAACCGTTACATATCAAGAGGAGAAAAGTAATAAAGCCTGGCTTTATTCATAGCCCATGGAAAAGTGCTTACATCAGACAGCACAGAATTGATACTAACTGGCGGCGAGGTGAACTTAAATCTCCTAAGGTAACCAAATGTCTTTGAATAGACTATTATGAACATAGCAAAATCAAGCGGGCTTGGCCTGATCTCTTCCCTTTTTAAATACGTAAATTTTAATCTGTTTTTAAATTATTGGGGTATTTTAATTTGTCTGGGCCAAATAATTTAATTTGATTTTATCGGGTTTTTAAATTTTGTGTATTTATGTATTTTATTGTTGGCTGTTCACCGCCCTGAGTCCTTCGGGAGTAGGGCGGTATACAAATCAAATAAACTAAACTAAACATCTTAGTATTGGCCTGTTCTGATTATTTTTAATATTTAAGAATCTAACTTTGTTCAAATAATTTGCAAAAGTTCAGCTTCAATATTTTGTATTATCTTATCTTTTTCTCTCACATGTTATAAGTACGGCAGCTCAAAACAATTTTACCAATTCTTGTTATGCTGGCAGCTATATCCATTTTAATACATACATGCAATTTAGCATATCCTATACAAAATGTATAAATGCTTCCATTTATATGTTAATTTTCACAGTCAACAAAAATTGAATTTAAAAGTGAGCTGTATTCAGTTTTCAATGCTATTTATTGAAAAATTCAAGATAGAAATTATGGTAGATAAAACTGCTCAGAACATATCCATTTTCTGAATAATGGAAGCTACTCTATATCTTACTGGTCTCTGTGGCTTTTCTTCCTTCCAGAGGCTCCCTAGCAGGTATAATATCCTACATTAAGAGATACTTGCTTTCTTTATGGATTTCTGAAATTGTAAGGGTTTTACCAAATGAAGGGGGCAAATATTTCTAAAAATAAGGCAAATTATAGTATGCAAAATATAACAATTAAATCATCAGTTCCAATGGTGTTATCCTTTTGTGAACTTTGCAAACAGTTAAAGGTGCTCCTTCAATATACCAAGGCATCAAGTTATACCTTTATCAATGTGTATTAACAAAATTGGATGTGACTGTAAATACACGCCACTTAATCAATAGTATTATGGTTAATCATAGTTTATGGAACTTGAATTTGGTCATGATACCTCACAGATTAAGTACTAAATAATTCAAACTAGGAGAATATTTAACAAAGTTAGATTGAAAAGCAAAATCTCCAGTTGTTTTCAAACCATAACAGGTTGCTGCAAGAATCTCCTAGGAAGATGTATATGTCTTACCTTAATATGTCATAAAGATGAAATGAACTTTTCACTGCCAGATTTTACTAATAAAATAACCATACTGCCAAATCTTTTACTGTGTAAATAATTGCTACAGATGTTAATTTTGTGGCTTTTTCAGTTAAATTTATTGGTTTCTAAGACCAAGATTAGTCTATAACTGTAGTGCATAATGAAAACTATGTTGCTGTATCTTAGTGAAGAGCAATTCAGTTAGGCATTCTTTTATTAAAATATTTATTTTCAAAAGCCATAATATAATAGATTTGTCTTCAAAATTAAGATACAGAAATTTTTGAGGAATGTTACTGGGGCTTATGAGAAAAGAAAAATAGCATTATTTTAATATATGTTAAATCACAGCAATGTCTGCAGGCATATAATTCAGTTTTGTACAAATTAATCAACTTTAGATCTAATATGTCTATGGAGATTGTTAGTCATCCAGGTCATAGTTGTCCCAAAGGTGCTTTTTCAAATAATTTGAAATACAATCTTTGAAGATGTTTTGCTTCTCGTCCAAGAAGCTTCTTAAGCTGAAGGAGCTTTTTGAATGAGAAGTGAAACATGTTAAAAAAAACAAAAACAAAAAACAAGGAAGTCCAGTTACCTCTTGAAAAAGCATCTTTGGGATATTTAGATCTATTAGTTCCTCTAATGGAAGAACTAGTAAGGGACTTGCCTATGCAAACATTATCATATAGAAGTTTACATAAAGCTTGTGAATGCCTTTTAATTTTTTATGGAAAAAAGTATGATATAAATTATTTCACCAGTGAACAGAGAAGAAGTCTGCTTTTTTGAGCCAAACATTTTTGCCTAATTTTTCTTCTTTCCTAGTCCAGTGAGTAATGAAATCCAGATATCAGGTTAGTAAAAAATCAGCAGAGACTCAGCTGGATTTGTAATGTTGCTGATTTGAAACAGCCTATATATACATATAGAAAATGGAGTCACAATTAATAGTAGGAAAATGATACTAGAAAGAAGCATGGAAAGATAAATCATGTTACCGTATTTTTCGGTGTATAAGACGCACCTTTTTACCCCCCCCCCCAAAAGGGGGTGAAAATGTGGCTGCGTCTTATACGCCTCAGGCTGTGCCCTGCCCACCCGCCGGCCCCCACCCTTCGGCCATTTTCGGGCAGTTCCAGGTGGCAGGGATCTGGGTCGGGGCACAGCCTGAGGAACAACCCTCTTTGGGATGGTCTGGGGGGGGGGTGGAATCTGCCCGGCAGCTTCGGGGAACAAGGCGGGTGCCACGATTTGCGGCTGATCACCCCTCTGGCCGCCCAGCACGCAGCTTAGGGCAGGCAATGGCCACAATGACTTCACTCCCCTGCAATGTAGGAGCTGCCGCCTAAGCCCTCTGCGCCCAGGAGCCGAGTGAGCCGAACGAGAGCGCCTAAACAAAAATGCTCCTCCTTTCCAGCCACCGCTGCCCGGATTCCCCAATGCAATAATCAGAGCCGCGTTTCAGGCGGCGGGCAGCCAGTTGCCCTGCAATGTGCAGCGGGGAACTGGGAACAGTTTTGGATTCGGGGAGGGGATTGCAGCCCTTCCGCCTGAAAGTGCTTTTCTTCCCATTGCACATTCCCAATGGGAAGAAAAGCACTTTCAGGCGGAAGCGCTGCAATCCCCTCCCCAAATCCAAACGGTTCCCAGTTTCCCGCTGCACATTGCAAGGCAACTGGCTGGCCACCACCTGAAATGCAGCTCTGATTATTGCATTGGGGAGTCCGGGCAGTGGTGGCTGGAAAGTTTTTCTTTAGGAGCTCTCGTTCGGCTTGCTCAGCTCCTGGGCGCAGAGGGCTTAGGCGGCAGCTCCTACATTGCAGGAGAGTGAAGTCATTATGACCATTGCCCGCCCTAAGCTGCCTGCTGGGCAGCCAGAGGGGTGACCAGCCGAAAATCATGGCACCCCCCTTGTTCCCTGAAGCTGCCAGGCAGATTCCCCCCCAGACCGTTCCAAAATGCTGGTAGGCAGAGGTAGAACTCTTGTTTTCTTGATTTCCTCCCCCCAAATTAAGATGCGTCCGGTGTGTCTTATACACCGAAAAATATGGTATAGCAGTATGGCAGCTTGCTATGAGTTGAATTGGTAAATTGGATTAAACAGCCGAGAGCTAAATGAAACACATGTTCCATTGTATTAGGAGAAATATCCTATTTAAAAACAGTAAGAACTACAATTTTTATTTTAATGGTATGATCAATTCTGGTTTTGTTTGAGATGTGTGGTTTTTATCTTATATTGTTAGGTGCTCAAAGGTCATGATGATCATGTAATCACATGTCTACAGTTCTGTGGTAACCGAATAGTCAGTGGTTCTGATGATAATACATTAAAGGTTTGGTCAGCAGTTACAGGAAAGGTAAATATGTTTATTGCATTTTTAATAAAGTTCATCCCAAATTCCTTGCTTTGTAAAACATGCTTTCTATAATTCAGTCTGATATTCGTAATGTATAGTTCTATTCAGGGGTGAAATGCTACCGGTTCGGGCAAATTGGTAGCGGCGGTAGTGGGTGGTTTGGAGAACCGGTAGCGGCGGCAGCAGCATACTTTATTGCGGTCATAGACCAAAAAAACCCAAAAGATCCAAGACACATAGCTGGCACACGACCAGACTGAAGCGGCAGCACGAGGCTCTGCCCGGACGTCATTACTTCCTGGTTAAAACAAGGAAGTAACTTGTTTCATACCCTCTGCACATGCACAGAAGGCTTTGCGCATGCGCAGAGGGTCCAAAATTGCACATCACGCATGCACGCTTGCAAACCAGTAGGGAAGGTAAGTAGATTAACCCCTGATTCTATTTCATCTTCTATACTTTCCTATTCACTTCACTCCCCATTTTAAACCAGAGTTCCCTATTAATATATGAAATGTGGTATTCTGCTTTATAACAGAACAGGCCATCTTGCAAGATGGAGAACAAAACCCAAAGCCTGGGGCTGATATAAGGTTCATAACCCATAATTTATTATGCATGTTTGAGCTCAAAAATTGAACTACTACTTGAGCAGTATTACTTCATCACTGTAATGTTGCAGTGGAGATCAACATCATATATTGCCCTACATATGTGCTATTCTTTTATATGAATCCAGTATTGTCATTGGCAGCATATTAGCAGTTCTTGTATTCCGACATAGCTGTTACCCCACCCTAAAAGATTTTAACATAATTGTAGGGCATAAACAGGAAAAAATGCAATGTTACAGATAGAATGTAGCATTTAATTTAATTTAAATAACAAATATGTGTTTATTTACAATAATTTGTGTGTCTCCTCAGAAGATGATGTAGCTAATTCATTTAGCGCTGTTCACTAGAATTCAGACTACCTTTATGGTGGCGTTTAAGCTACTAAGCCAAACTAATTACTAGAATTTAATCCATTTCATTTATTATAGTCTGGGTAATACCTATTTGAAAACCATTATATTTAAAATACTGTGCACTTTCAAATTCCAATTAAATTGCCTTTCATATTTCCAGCATTTATACACAACTAAAATTAGTAGCAGAAAGTGCCCAAAGAAACAATAGGGCTATTTAGAATATTTTCCAGCCCAGGACAAAGGGCAAGTATCATATGTACTAGCCACAGTTTAGTTTTTAAAATTAGGTCACTGGCCAAAATGTTGAATTAGTTGCAGTTTATAAAAATTATGAATCTTTTAGAATTATTCAAGCAAAAAATTTAAAAGCTGTTTTCAAGTAACCCTGTCTGTCTATCTTTAGTTCTATCTCTAGAAGTCTGTCTGTCTGTCTGTCAATCAATCAATCAATTTATCATCTCCGTAATTTAAAATAATTCATATAGAATTTGTGCATGAAATTATCTCAATTGTTGGCTCACATTAATATATGAACCACTCATGGATATGATTCTGCTGGATTGCTATAAGCCCTCTTTGAAAAAAAGAAATAAAATCCGTATCAATGTGGCTTTCCTACAAACTGGTTAATTTCTTGGAGTTTGCAAGTTCTTGGCTAATACAAAAGCTATTTCAAAACAATCTGAGTGGCTAACCCTATTTAAGGGAGCCTTGAAAAAACTGTAATCTAACCAAATATTTATTAATATTCTCCACAGAAGAGTGTTAATTCTAGCATGGTTTAATGCTTTACCCTCTATGTTCTTGGAACGAAAATGCTTCTAAGAAATAATAAATGCTTTAGGGAAGAACTCATAAATCTGAATTTATTTGTTCTTATTAATTGGGAAGAATGATCAATTGGGAACAATGAATACTTCTGCAAACCTCTTTCAGTAGAGATGACTCAGTCATATTGAATGTAGACCTAGTTTCTGATTTTCATACATTTCCTCTCTAGGATAGGCGGATGGAGTGCACATTATATTAATTTTAAGGAGTTTTAGTTTCCCTCCCCTCAAGTTAAAAAAAACCCTAATGTCTAGACATGTTGCTGTTGGTTGGCAAGACTCTTAGTGAAAGCCAATTCTGATTTGAAGCTAGGTTTGGAAATGAAATAGATGTTTTGAGCATTAAAACTTCAAGTGTTTTATAACTATAAAGTTGGAGGATGGGAGATCGTCTGCATTTTCATCCCAATAATATTGAGGTTTTTATATGTATACAAATGCACATTAGTCTATTAATCAGCAATGTACTAGAACTCTGAAAAAAAATGAAAACAATTGACTCAATGATTACGTATCCATACCTGCATGGTGATTTTTACTAATGTCCTTCTATAGAACAGCATTTGTTTGTATTTATATCCCTGATACCACTATCCCTGAAACTACTAGCTTACAGTGATTTGTAATATTAATAAAACTATTAATTTAATGTGAATTTTTTAAATTCTAAGATAACCAAATTTAAATCACTGTCATTTAAAGTTTTGTTGAAGAGCATTTTAAGCTTGGATGTTTTCAGCATAAACTCTGCATCCTTAAAGTGAATTTCTTCTAAGAAAAGGGGTAAGGCTGCAGCTGGTAAAATGTGTTTCTGCCTGTTGTCTCAGCCTGAGAGATCAGAGAGAGATCTGGATGCCGTAGTGTTTACAAACCACATATATTTATTCTTGGTAGTATAATATGGGTCTATAGTATAAGTATAGAATTGACTGTAATTCAAGTCTCATTCTCCTAGAATTAGGAACCCCTCCAACAGGTGAGCAACCCATGGGTCTCATGAGCCCCTCATCCAGGGATATACGTTAGTCCTGGCCAGCAAAAAACAACAAAGTTTGAAGATGCAGTAACATGAAAAAGCAACCTGTTCCTTTCTTACACATGTTGCAATAACATACAGTTTTATGCTGTTCCTGTATCAGATTCAAATCAAGTATATATTTCAATGAATCCTGGCTAACTTGCTGGTGTAGTTCCACTAATCCATTTGTATATAATGGAACAATTGAAGAAGGCCAATGAGAAAATCATTGTGTTCATGTTACCACATGAGTATCTCAAGTATCAGCCTGAAGAATGCAGAATATTACTATGTGCAATAATAATTTGTATTAGTTCATCTGTCTTTTGTTTGTCTAAATGATAACCAGATTTAATTGTCTATTTTCAGTGTTTAAGAACACTTGTTGGACATACAGGTGGGGTCTGGTCTTCACAGATGAGGGACAATATAATCATCAGTGGATCTACAGACAGGACCCTCAAAGTGTGGAATGCAGAGACTGGAGAATGTATACATACATTATATGGGCATACCTCAACTGTGCGTTGCATGCATCTCCATGAAAAAAGGTAAGCATTCTTTGTTTTAAACTTAACAAACATACTTTCGTATGTTTAAGTATTTAAGTATTATATTTTATATTTTATGTATATAGTTTGTTGAAGTTTTATATTTAATAGAAAAATATTAGGCAACTTGTAAATAGAAATAAACTATTATGCATTATACATTTTATTCTTTCGTTTATGTTCAAATTCAGAAAAATTAAAAACAAAAAGTTTCCTGAGAAAAAAAAGAGGATGCAAAAAAGAATACAAAAGAACTTTGCACATTTTCTTGCAAAGAAAGTAAACAGTTATAGTTTCTAAGTCAAGATATTAAAATATAAGACAGATCAATATACAGAAGAAGCTACTTTCAATTCATTATTAAAAGGTGTGATGCATGCAGGTAGTTTAAACCTGGGATCATGATCGATATGAATATTTTGTAATCGGGTGTCCCAAGTAAAATAATGTGATATTAAATAGAAGAAAAATACAGGTAGTTCTCAACTTACAACCATTCGTTTAGTGACTGTTCTAAGTTTCAGCAATACTGAAAAGGTGACTTGTGACCATCCCAATGGTCACATGATCAAAATTCAGATACTTAACAACTGGTTCTTATTTATAACGATTGCAAGGTCCCAGGGGCCTTTTGGTCACTTTTTGTGACCTTCTGACAAGCAAAGTCAGTGGGGAAGGCAGATTCATTTAACAACCACATTACTAATTTAACAACTGCAGTGATTCACTTAACAACTGTACCAAGAACAGTCATAAAATGGGGCAAAACTCAAACTTAACAGTTGTCTTGCTTAGCAACAGAAATTTTGGGCTCAATTGTTATAAATCGAGAACTACCTGTATAAAGATGTTTAAGAGTCTTAATCTCAACCTATCCTAGAATTTACTGCAAATATATTTTCTTTTTCAGGCTAAAAATCTGGTTGTAATATTTCAGTTAAATATTTTTTATCATCCTATCTATAAGTTGGATCAATTTAAATGTCTGCTTAAACATACAACCCTGGATTTAGTCTGGACTAAATACTGCTAAAACAGCCACATTATTTTTATTTTTCCACTTCCTAGAGTTGTCAGTGGGTCTCGAGATGCCACCCTGAGAGTTTGGGACATAGAAACAGGCCAGTGTTTACATGTTCTGATGGGTCATGTAGCTGCAGTCCGATGTGTACAATATGATGGCAGGAGGGTTGTTAGTGGAGCTTATGATTTCATGGTCAAAGTTTGGGATCCAGAAACTGAAACCTGTCTACACACCTTGCAAGGGCATACTAATAGAGTCTATTCATTACAGGTAAGCGTTTTGTACTGTGCCTTCAGTATTCAACCAGAGTAATTGTTGCCTAATATTTGCTGAGAAGCCAGTACATTATTGGCAACCAATGAGGTCAAATCATTTGGTCTATGCATTCTATATTTTCCTTTTTCTTCTTTTCCCTATTCATCTAATCTTTTGTGTTATGACATTAAAAAACAGACCACAGCCAGAGTGCTCAGAATTCTTGTAAAAGTGCCACAGAGCACGTTTACAAGAATTCAGTCCAGATTATCTGGAATGTGCTAGCTGTTCTGACTACACATCCATATATTTGAGGTGAGTTTCTTAAATTTAACTCAAAGAGCTAAATTTAAGCATACCTTTTAAAACTGTATAACTTGTGCAATTAATAATAACCATTGAGAATGAATAGGGATGTTTATTATATATTATTATGGTGTTCTCTTGTGTTACAAAAAGATCTGTAAAGATTTTTTTTCTAATAAATTACTAATGAATTGGGTAAAAGATTTTAGATGGAATCAAAGTTTTAAATATACTTAAATTGAAAAAAAATGAATAATTCTCATTGGATGTATCTGTTAATGACAAGAAATGTCTATTTACATTAGAGTGTCAGAGATATTTTTTGTTATTACAAGAAATAAATTAATAAGAACCATGAGATGGTGGCACTTGTGTTTAAAGAAAATACTGTTTGCTTTGCAAACAGTTATATTAAAGTTACAACAGTTTTATTTTAATTGTCTTCTTTTTCATGCACATACTTGCACTTATAACTACTTCTAAAATAGAAAGTGTAAATATAGTTGCATTGATTAATTTGCTTCATTTAATCAAATAGAAATGTTTTAAACATTAAGATGAATTTTTAAACCAGTGTAATAGAACTTATTGCATATTTCATTTATTGGATCTACTTCTACTATACTTGCTACAAAAAAAGAAAAACATGACAATATTTTAACAAGGATTAATTTTTTAAATTTTTCAATTGCATTGTGGAGATTAAAGAATCTGATTTATAGATCTTGAAGTTACATTCTTTTTTTGACAATTAGACATTTATCATGGCATGCTGTCGATAACCACTGATTGAGGTTCATTGAAAGCCAGTTTAATAACAGAACATCAGCAGCATTTCTACATATATTATAGAAAGTTTTCTAATATCATGAAAACTAACAAAATTATCACGTAAGCTTCTTTGGAGCACAAATCACTTTATCAGAATAACTTCTTAGATAGGAACATCTCTCTCTCCCTCCCTCCCTCCCTCCCTCCCTCCCTCTCTCTCTGTGTGTGTGTGTGTGTGTGTTACACATATATATATACACACATACATACATACATACACAACATATATAGTTAGATTTGAGGTTAGTGAAATGTAGAACATGTCAGTGACTATAATATTGGTAATAGAAATATCACAAAACAGTTATTAGATATGACACTGACATTATTATGCTGAGCTAATTAACATCTACAAATCTGTAATGTCTAACTTATAAGAAAACTGAATCCCTTAATGGAGCATAGCTCAGGTATTTGGGAGTAAAATCTTGTTTGCTTGTTTAAGGCTACCCACATCAATATCAGGGATAGGTTGTACTAGGGAGAAGAAGACTTACTATGCCCCTTTTTTGGTACTGACATTTCAGTGCTAGATTTGAACCTGGTTATTTTGCATAAAGATGGATCAATTTATACAGTGCAAAGTATAAAAAGAGGTTGCTTACAAAGAATGGCATGTGTATCATTAGTAAATGAAGAGGTATGCAGCTGCTAGCACAAGTAACTATTAGATTCTGTAATGATTAGTAGATTCTGTCCGATAGAGGTCAGATATAAAGTCTATTACGTGATGACAGTGTATCTTGCAGGATTTGAAACAACATTTAATCTTAGTATGTCTGAAAAGATTTGATAATAAAATACACATTAATGTGGCCTGCATTGTAGTATGCCTTTCAGATATAGAATTACAGGTGAGCAGAAATGCTTTTCAGTCTGTTAGTAGATATTAGAAAATAAATCTTGCATTCTGTCTAAATCATATTAAACTTAAATATATGGGAATAACTTTCACTATGATAACATTGTTCCAGGTTGCACCTCCTATAAATAATGGAGGTACATATGTACCGAACCATTTTTAAAATGAAAAGTTACTCCATGTCAAAAACTGACTTCTTTTTTCCAAATGAGTAGGAAGTAGCTTCCTGAAGCAAAGTGTTTATCCTTAAGAAAAAATGGATAATTTTGATAAATTTGTCGTATCACACATTTTCTTAATATGTATTGAACTTGGTAATATCAGATTTGTATCAACTTACATTCTGAAGAGATAAAATTGTGAACATAATTCGGCAACTAAGAATAATCACAATTCAATATAAATATGTTGATATATGTAAACTTCTTTTCCCATAGTTTGATGGTATCCATGTGGTGAGTGGATCTCTTGACACTTCAATCCGAGTTTGGGATGTGGAAACAGGAAATTGCATTCACACATTAACAGGTCACCAGTCATTAACAAGTGGAATGGAACTCAAAGACAACATTCTTGTGTCTGGGAATGCAGATTCTACCGTCAAAATCTGGGATATCAAAACAGGACAGTGTTTACAGACGTTACAAGGTAAGATTTCACAGCCTTGTGTAACTAAGTCATAAAAGTGTTTCAATACTAATCTATATACATGTATGCATGACTATATATTATTTGCATATTTGTGAACTATATATAATTTTTAAAAGATTGGTTCAAAAGTGGTGTTTATGTGAATCCATACTGTGTTTCCTTGCACTGTTTCTGGTAACAATATTTGATCATCCTTCAGATACATTATAAATGGTTTAAAAATAAATGTTCAGTTTGCTTAAGGTGGTATTTTAATGCTTCACTCTTAAATTGTCAAGGTGGATTTTGAGGCTTGAGATATTTTTCTTCAATTAGTAAAAACAACCCATTGTTGGGTGCTTTCAAAGCTCTTATAAGGGTATATGCTTCATGGAAGGAAAAATCTTATTGTGTAATTTGGAAAGCAAGGTTAAAGAAACTGTAAATATTTATGTAAGAATTCCTACCACAGAATTATATAGTAGTTTTAGGTCTGCCAACCAGATGCTTGGCTATTTGTATGCCTCTGAAATTGAATATTCATTAAAGAGTTTTAACCAGATTTTGGGAACAGGGAAAAACAGTTGGCTTCTCAACTAAAACAACTGAATTATGCTATATCTATACTGAAGAATTCTGTGAGAAAAATAATCTGGGACAACATATTTCAATTTTTATACACTTCCTCATAAATAAAATCTGCAACTACTATAGGAACTGATTTTTTAAATAATAGAGTAAAATTTCCACCAAAAGTACCTTTGTTGGATTAGCACGCTTGTAATGCTGCAACAATTAGAAACAATTAATTGTATTCAGTTTGGTGTGGGTTTCTTATAGAATGAGACCAAAACAAAACCTGTACAGTATTTCTTCCAAATAATTTTATTAAAGCTCTGAATAAAACAATTAAAGATAATAGAAGCTAGAATAGAAGGGGGAGGGGGGAGAGAATTGCAAGAAAAATAAATGTATAAAGAAAAACTTTCCTTCCCCTAAGAAAACAACTCCTGCTTTGTGGCAAATATAAACAATTGTCTAATCTCCTTACTTTTTCTTAGCTAACAAATATATAAAACCTTTCATCCCATTACCCATTTCTTAATAGCAAATCAGATAAATAACATCTTCAATCCAGTTACCAACAAAAATATCCATTCAAAGCTTTAACATTAATTAACATATATAAAATTGAACATTCCTCAACTCACCTCTTAACTGTAACAAAATCCATTTAAAAGTCATAAAATTGTCCCAACATCATAATATAAACAAAATGTAAAAAAAAAAAAGCTTAACTTGACAAAGAAGAACCATTACCCTTTATAAAAGATACACAATATACCAAATAACATCTTATCTTCAAATACACATTCATATGTTCACTCTACCGCCTTCTGCTACCGATGGCCTCCCACCAGCCAGTACGCTCCCACAGGGCAGGGCTCCTTGGGGTGCTGGCGACCCCCCGGTGGAGAGCCTTCTCAGTGGGGGCTCCTGCCCTCTGGAACGAGCTGCCCCCGGAGGTACAGGGGATCTTGCGCACCTTCCGCTGTGCCCTGAAGACTTTGTTATTCCAGCAAGCCGGGCTAGCCTAATTTTAACGGTTTTAAATTTTAAATTGGATTTTAATGGGATGTTTTTAATTATGGGCCAAAGTATTTAATCTGGTTTTAAATTGTTTCTAATTTTTATATTTATGTATTTGATCTTGGCTGTTCACCGCCCTGAGTCCTTCGGGAGAAGGGCGGTATATAAAAATAAATAAACAAACAAACAAACAAATAAATAAATATTGACATGCACATTTCACCAGTTTAAAATAATCTCAGTCTCCTAATATATAGAAAAATCTGAAGATAAATGTATCAGCAATAAATAAATTTTGCATTTTTAAAAAACAAAACCCCCCAAATTTCCTTATTTTAACCAAAGAAAATAGTTAAATGTAAAACCAGTGTAAGTACTATAAAATTAGTAATACATAAATTTTGATTTAATAAATTATAATTTAATAAATTATACTTATATGGAAAAAAGTTTTTACATCACATCCAGTAAATAAATACCGTATTTTTCAGAGTATAAGACGCACCTACCATTTTTGGTGAGGAAAAGAAGAAAAAGAAATCTCCCTCTGCCTCTGCGCAATTTTGCCTTGTTACAGCAAACAGCCTGCTTTACTTTCATTTTCGTTTTCAGCATAGCTTGATTAGCACAAGGAAAAAAAATCTGTTCTAGCAATTTACCTCTTTGCAGCAAGCAGCAGAGTCCTGCGCAAAACAGCTGAGAACAAATCAGCTGAGAGTCGGGAGGCGGATCCAATCAACTTGTGCTAATTAGGCTGTATTGAAGCTGAAAGGAGCTGTTTTTTCTTGCTGTTTGCTTGCAAGGAGATAACTGCTACGAGGCAGAGGCCAAAGGGTGGGGGCCAGTGGGTGGGTGGAGCTACATTCGGTGTATAAGACGCACCTAAATTTTCACCCCCTTTTAGGGGGGGAAAGGTGTGTCTTATACTCCAAAAAATACGGTAGCCCTTTGCCCAAGTTGCACTGGTTGTCTCCAGACCTGGGCCTGCCGTTTGGCCTGGATCTCTGATGGCATTCCATGCTGGAGGTCTTTAATGGACTAGGAGAAAGAACCAACCTCCACCTATTGTATTTTGGATTTTAACTCATTTAATGTCCGTCCTCTGCTAAGAAACAGACATGGGGACCGCCTCCTAGAGTCAGACATGACCAGACAAGGGAAATCTTTACCTTTATAGAAAAATATCATATTTGCTTTTGGAGGAGGGGAGGGCTAGTTTAGTAGACTCTGATGTTACTTTTTTTGCTAACTTAATTTTGAATTTTTTATTTTTTTTTGCTCTAGGTCCCAACAAGCATCAGAGTGCTGTGACCTGTTTACAGTTCAACAAGAACTTTGTAATTACCAGCTCAGATGATGGGACTGTAAAATTATGGGACTTAAAAACGGGTGAATTTATCCGAAATCTAGTTACATTGGAAAGTGGAGGAAGTGGAGGTGTTGTATGGCGGATCAGAGCCTCCAACACAAAGCTAGTGTGTGCAGTTGGAAGCCGGAATGGGACTGAGGAAACCAAGCTGCTGGTATTGGACTTTGATGTGGATATAAAGTGAAGCTTGAAAAGATTATTTTGTCCAGAAATGCAAATGATGTTCTTGTCCTTTCTCCCTCCCTCTACAAAAAGGAAAAAAAAACAAAACCCTTGTCCTTGGTGGTGCAGGATGTTGGCTTGGGGCAACAGATCCTAAAGACCTACAGGCTACAAAAGAGAAGACACAAAAATTGAAAACTGTAACTGACAAAAGAGGCATTTGCTTTTCTCTTTACATCAAAGACTTCACCTTGGAAAGGGCCAGCTTTGCAAAATGTGACTTTCTGTATCAAGCCAGGTGCAATTATTTCTTTTCTGTTTTCCTCTCAATGATCACTGAGCTTTGTTGAGATGTAGAAGTTGTTACAATTCTTGTTAATCCTGTTCTTTTACTCTACCTTATTCTAGAAAGGAGATGCATATCTCCATTATCAGTTATTGTCTTTCAAACAAGACAGCATCTGGGAAAGCAGAGTCCTTTATGTGTGGAAAAGCTAAACTTACTGTGAATTGTTTTGTACAGTTTTACAGCTTTTTTTTTTTTTTTTGCCAACCATTGCCAATGTCAATCACAGTATTAGTCTTCGTTGATCTCTTTTACTCTTGCTTCCATCTATGTTCTTCAATGCATAAGTTACTCTGAGGTGGCAAATTGTCCTGGATTTGAAGATTTCTCAGATGGATTTAATATATGATGCTGGTGCTAGAAGTAGGTCTTCAATTATGGGATTGTTGTCCCAGCCCTGTACTGTATTCCCAGTGGCCAAACTTATTTATGCTGCTAAATGAAAGGAAAAAAAAATATTTTTATTTTTTTTCTGCTGTGACGTTTTAGTCCCAGACTGAATTCCAAATTTGCTCTAGTTTGGTTACAGAGAAGAGACTTTTTTGCCACTGAAACTTGAGCCAACTGTGCCTCTAAGAGGCTGTGAATGGAAAAGTTTCAGACAATTTAGAGTGAAGTTTGCTTGCAAGTAAAGAGAGTGTGTGCAACGCTTATTTTCTTTTTTCTTTTTCTTTTTTCCTGGGCAAAAATTAAAATACATTCCTTAGAACAAAGCTCTTGCAGCCTGTTCTGTGGGGAAGTTTCTTTGTGAGGGCTGTGGTGAATGGAATAAACAGACACGAAACTGACAATATATTTAAAAAATATTCAAAAGTGAAAACAAAATTGCTGGTCGGTTGTAGTGTTTTACAGAATTTGAGAATAGCTGTTACAGTTGGGTGAGTAACTGACAAAGCAAAAATGCTTCGGTTTTTCTGTTAAAGTTGTCATATAAAAAAGAATGCAATTGTCAAATTGATTTGCCTCATTCTCCAAGAGCCACAACTCAAGTTGAACTGTGAAAGTGGTTTAACACTGTATCCTAGCTGATCTTTTTTTTTTTCCTCCTTTTTTGGTTTATTTATAGTCTGTTTCTTTTAAAGAAATCAGATTTCAATTTGTTAATTTTAGATATGTAACAACCTGACAGGATGGAGGAAAAACCTTTAAAGGGATTGTGTCTATGATTTGATTCACTTAGAAATTTTATTTTCTTATAAATTAAGTGCAATAAAATGTGTTTTTTTCATGTTAAAAAGTCTTCCTACTAATGATTTAATACTGCAATATTCTCAAATTTGGATGGAATGGAACATTACAAAAGCATTTATCTACTTGTGTGATAGGATGACCATACAAATTTTGAATTGACTTTTCAGATTTCCAGCAAAATCCTCATTTCCCTGGTTGTTAGAATCAACTGAAAAACATTTTTGATTCCATGTTTTGAAGGAATTGGAGCAACAGTTGGATTTTATAAATGTAAACAGCCTAAGTTAAGTAAAAGTAAATAAGGTATTGAATATTTTCCTGCATGATCTACAGAGCAATAAGGATTCTCCTTTCTGACATAATTACCTAAGGCAATTAGAACAAAAAAAGTTAATCAAAAGCACCAAAAATATGTCTGTAAACAGGAAAAGTAGGACATTGACAGGTCAAATATGGTTCAGTATTAGTCATTGTTAAAGTGATGGTACAAAAAAAGAGGCTAATTTCATGGTAATTGGTAATTGAATTGGTAATGAATAAAAAAAAAATCTTGGAAGCACAACTGGTAGCTCAATGAAAATAAAAGTAGTACGGAGATTCTGTGCAAGGAACAAATGTTTTGGAGGTAAGTAGAAATGGAAATAAAACAGTTTTCATTACACATTTAACCAGATCTAGAATAGTTATTTTAAAACATTGACATATTGTAGAGAAAATTGCAAAAAGGCATAATAATAAATAGAGCGGTGTTGCTCCACTATGATGATATTTGGAACATGGGGGCTTTTTGGATTAGCAAAGCAAGCAAAGGAACAGGAAATTTCACATTATTATAAAATTGGTACATAGAATCGTTTTTCTCTTGATAAGAGAATAAAACATTGGATTTATTCAATGCTTGAATAACTCAAGCTGCATTCTGGACGATTCCAGATGGATGAAAATAACTTCTTTGTATCATGAGTTTTAATAACAGCTATTAAAAAGAAGTTACAATTCATAGAGAATAACCCTATTAGTGGTTTTTGTTTATTACATGTAAGTTGATATACTTCTGATATACTTCTTATTGCCTAAGACTCAAGTTTGTTCATAACAAATGAACAGCAAAATACACTTCAGAGAATCCCTGTCAAACTAAAAGCTGCCCTATCACCAAATAGGGAAAATGTCCTGCAAATTTAGTAGTCAGCCAGGAAATAATAGGACATTCCTCACCATAGGAAGCTATTTGGAATCTATGGGAAGCCACCAAGAAGGTCTGTTGGCAGATTCCTATCCTCATTTCATAATGGACAACATCTTCCAGTATTCCTTTTTTTAATACTTGAGATGGGCTGACCCTTACCATGAGAATGAACTTCACATATTTCTTCTAGTTTCTAGTTATTAGAAAATTATAATAAGGAAATACTAAAATCTGTAATTCAGAAACTTGCATCAATAATATTCAGTTTAATGAAAAATAAGGACAAGGTAAAGAGCATAAAATAAATAGAATATGATGAATAAAGAGTTTCATAAGCTTGTTATTTTTTTCACTTGGGGAAAATCATCATACAATATCTAGGAAGTATAACAGGTTCTACCGGTACCACAAGAAGCTAATTTGGAATTCCTGGAGATAGGAAATGTCTACAGTCTTGAGGCAAATAATTGGAATGTTGCACTAAATAAAAGTGGTAATTAAAACACTGCAATATAATAATGAAAATTCTTTCAACCCTCCCTATATGCACACACACAAGTGAATTAATTGGAATAAATAACAAAGGTGATTACACCATATTGTGATATTCATGTACATGCCTACAAATAGTATGAGTGGACTCAAATAATTAGAAATAATGTCTGTCTATAGACATTAAGGAAAATTATTTCACCACATTATGATCTTTGTCATATGAGCATAAAGGTAAAGAATAGTATTTTATTTTTTTCTATTAGCAGTCGTCTTCCAATTTTGTCATGGAAAAGAAATTTGAAATTGAATAAACAAAAAGGGTAGAAACGAAGCAAAAATCCAAATAAATGTAAGTCACTAATGTTATCAACAGATTTTTTATATATACATACACATACACACAAATTTTTGCAGAAGTATTTAAGATACAGAACTGGGTTCTGTACAGGGTTAGATACAGAAATTGAATGAATCTCAAGGATGGGAAAATGCATGTTATAATACAGTCATTTCACTGATTCCTATCTTCCTGATAATATAAAATTATACAAAATTCTTACTTTAGCCTAATGCAATTAGATACTGTACGTATGCCTTCTTATAGTAGTTACCAAACTATAATTTTATGCTTTCCAAATTCCCTGATATAAGTTAAATCTTAACTGAATTGAACCTGAAAAAGCAAGAAATGTTCAATAACACTTTATAAAAATAAATTATGTTTCTTAGCAGGCACTAATACCAATATTCCACAACAGTATTAGATTTTCCAAAAATCAATTATAAATACTAATTTCTTTTGTTTAGATGAATAAATATATACACAAGCTGTGCTGCAAACTGCTACATTAAAAGTTCTAAGGTGGATTTAATTTGAGAAAATCTTAAATTTCAAAAGTCTTTTATTCAATGTATTGCCTTTCTGACTAAGCGTGTAGGTAAAATTGTATTTCAATGATATCTTCATATTTCAAAGTTGCTTCAATTTTATTCCCAACTTCTGTTTTGGCCAGAAATACAATGTGCTTTTTAAAATGTTTGAGTGTGGATGTCTGCATTTAACCTGACATTATGTCATTTGTTGGTTTGATATTTTAAGAAGCACATAATATACATGGAATAAACTGACAGTTTGGAGGCTGTATAACAGCTGAAGTAAAGCAGTAACTCCTGGATATGTCTATAAACAGTTGTTATCTTTCTGATATTCATTTCAGTTGTGGGGTGAAATTCAGATTTTATATTTAGTCATTGAAAGGTTTGAATGGATTGGTATAATTTTAAGCTTTGTGGCTTCATGATTCTTATCTTTGCATACATTTTTTTATACACTTTTACAGGGGTTTTTGAAGGTATATGTTGCTAATTTAAAACTGCTGTTTAATGGACTGCTAACTGTGATATATAAGTTAATGGCTTATGAGATTATTTTGCTTTGACAAAGTCAATTTTGCGATTTAAAATGAGATCGAGCATATAAAAGTGCCTCTCCTTATGTCAGTTGCATGCAATATACGGAAACCTTTTATTTTCACATTTCTTCCAAAGCATGAAAAATCACAACAGTAACTAAGGTAATAATTCAGTGAAAATTAAGTTTGCAGAAAATATATTTAAGATTTTGACATTTGAAATACATTACTTCCCCCTTTGAGGGAAATTACAAGTTAAAACAGTTTGGGTAATTGACAAAAGGCTAATTAATTTTCAACTACCGTTTAACTATTCTCTGCTGCCCAGAATTTTTATTTTTTTTATTATTTGGTGACTTCTGGTCAGTGTTGAATCCTGGAAACTGCTTGCACAAGTCCCAGAAACCCCTGCAACTAAACTGACTCCAATTCTACTCTTTGCAAATCTTTTAGAAGTTAACATTTTCTGCTAATTAGACTTAAAGTGTATAACATGATCAATCAGTCTATAAGAGACTGATCTTATCAGTCTCAGTTCACCAATCAGTGGTGAAATCCAGCTGGATCTATCCGGCTCATACAAACCGGTAGTCCCAGTGGCAGGAGGCTTTGCCCACCTGCCGGGACATCATTATGTCCTGTTTTTGACCCGAGGCGCATGCGCTCCCATTCCCAAACCAGTAGTGAAGGTAAGTAGATTTCACAACTGAGACCAACTAATAAGCACAAATCACTGGTCTTCTTTAATGCAGAATACAAATATCTTGATTGTTCACTTTTCACTGCATAGCATTTCTAGGTCACTGATCTTTGCCAGACACAATCCCTAAAGGCACATGTTGCTATAGTGGAAATATCTCCATTATTTTGGGCTATTATGATTAGCATATTGGGCTAAATCACTGAACCTTATATATGAAGAGGCATTATTATTCACAGTAGGAAATATACTTCTCTAATTCCCTTCATAAAAGTTTGATTTGAGAAAGCTAGCTTTATTGGAGCAGCTATGTTAATAAGTAATGAAACTAAAATGTTTATATTCCAGTTGCATATATGAACCCCGAATTAGCATAAAATCGTGCCTAAGCAACTTCAATTTGAAGATGCTAAAAATCAATGGTTTTATACCACTCCTAGGTCTGTCCTTTTTTCTCAACAAGAGGCATTATTCAAATTTGATCAGTAACTATTTACAGTATATTTAACACTCCCTAAGTGCAAGATTCCTGCATAAATAAAACATCTAATTTGGATAAATATCAGTATTTGTAGCTAACCATCCACCAATGTTCCATGAAGTGAAGAAGCTACTATATCGATTTGAAAAATTTATTGACTTTTTTGCCATACAAAACAAAGTTTTGAAGGGGTATAAGATTAACAGTTAAACATCCAACATATAAATAAAATTGCATAAAAATAAAACAACCAAAATCACCCAGTTAAACCACAAAGATAAAAATTAATTCAAAAAGCAATAAAAATAGAGGGCATTATTTATAAATGTTAGGATATTTCTAAATAATAATCTCTGGAAGATGTCAGGACAGAGATAATCTGTCTCGCATAGATGTTGGGATAAGTTTTCATTGATAGTGCTATTTTGAAATTAGTAAAGTAGTACAAAATTAAACATCTGGCACACATAAAAATTACCACCAGTCAACTGCAACTGTTTCTTTGGAACAGTTTATATTCTGCAATGATACCTTTAAAATTATTTTAAAATATGTTGTTCCAGGTCCTTAGGAATGGCTGGCTGATTGTGTGACCAACCATAATCATTTATTAAATCTATATGTACCTCACTCATAATGACTCTGGATGGCAAGAATGTAAAGATGGAAGCCAGTGAAGTGAATATTTATGACTACCATTGAACTTTAGCTTAAGATGGTAGGAAAGTATGTAGGTAGGTAGATGAATAGATGAAAGAAAAGGAAAAAA